ACTCTGCCACATAATGCAATTATGTATCTTTTTTTTCTGTCTGATAAAATCCCAGTAAAAATAGATTAAAGTGTCTAGTTCAAGTTGGAATGAATACTTTAGCGAGGCACTGCATATCCAGGGCAGATCTCCTGTCTGCATTCAGTCTGAAAAAAAAAACTGTTAAGTGGAGAAGGTAAAACTAAGCCTCCACACAAGGGACGAAATAATGAAGCAACAAACACTCCTGTTGTCACCACGCCCCACTGGCCCAGACCCACACAACAGGTTCTTCTCCCAGCTCTGTCTGCCTCACCACATCAAAAGTCAGCAGCTGAGATTTCACACCAGGCTTTAAACACAGACCAAAATGTGAACAAAAATCAAAGGCAACCGGACACACAACAGGAGGATAGTCACCTGAAAGCGCGGGGCAGGTTAACCATCCACAGAGCGTGGGCGTTTCGGGACACACAAAGGGCGAAACTGATAAGCAGATTGGACTTTGACGTAGAGTTTACCGGTCTAGTATGCGGCAAGGCGTCCCAGGGGACTTCCGTGTACTCTCACCTGTCTTGGGTACACAGGAAATCCCGGGTAAAGAGGCGGAGAAATCTTTCTTTTAAAAAAAGCGTTTTTCAAACGCGTCAATCAGTGAAGAGGCGATGTTTTCTGTGATAACGCCGTGCAAGTCTGTCGTTTGTATTAAAACGCTCTGACATAATGTCTAGAGTCCGTTTCCTTTTCTATATAATTGCCGCTTTCAGGTCAACGTAGTTTAAAACAACTCCCCCCCCTCGAGTTATTCATCCACGAAGCGTAGACGTTGATGCTAGCGCAGTTAGCTCCATGCTACGCCGCTAGCCCGTTCAGGCAACCAAGTTCGGCGAACCAAAAGCCGCTTCCGCTCCCACCACCGACAAACCCCAAACCAGCCACACACAAAGCAAAACACTACCAGGACGGCCGTCACCCATGCAGCAGACACTTTCAGCAGGTTTCTATCTCAGAGTCCAGAAGTGTTTGGTGGCTTCGGGCCTAGCCGAGTTCTCTTGTTTGGCACAATCCGGGGGGAACCCGATCCCTCCGGGCTGGGCGAAGAGTTTTGGGGGAGACGACAAAAACACGTCGGCGCAGGGCGAGTTTACACCCGAGAGATGCCGAGGGACCACGGCGAAAACACCGGAGAAAACACCCACCTATGCAGCGCAGTTTTGTCTTTCCTCCTCGCCGTCGCCTGCTGTCCACTTGTCTGTCCTCTTCCTCTCCGCTGGGGGGAGGAAGATGTGGGGGGGCCAGCAGATAAGACAGCAGGACGGTTCAAAGCGACCAAAGATCCAGGCTTGACTTGTTCTAAAGCAAGGAGGGTTATGTGGTTTCTAAATGTCACAAACGATCCAATAAACAGAAGAAACTTTTCGTCGCTCCTGTGTTGAAAGGTTGGCGTGGCTCCTCACCTTCCCACAGGACTCCTCCCCTATGACTGTCACATCCAATATAATGGAGGAAATCCAACCTCGGCTCAGAACATTGTTCAGAAGCTTCACATACAGTAAATTAGAATATATATATATATATATATATATATATATATATATATATATATATATATATATATATATATATATATATATATATATATATATATATATATATATTTGAATTGTTAATTTTTTTAGACACAATTTACTGCGACAGTGCGGCGTGGCATGGAGGCGACCAGCCTGTGGCTGAGCGGAAGTGTCACGGATTCCCAGGTAGATTTGTTTTCTGCAGCTTCGTCTATTCTTTTTCATGATCCTCTCACTGGACCTCAAGCAACTTCCAACTTCCAAACACCCTGGAATTTTTGATTTGCAAAGGAAACACAAAATGAACTTTAAAGGCTTCCTACCATCTTTTGTCATCATCTTTTCTCTTGTTTTTCTGTTTTGTTTATTCTTAGTTTATTATTATTATTATTATTATTATTATTATTATTATTATTATTATTATTTTCATTATTTTTGCAGCAGTTAAATTTGGTTTTATTTTTCTGGATCTCCATAAATAGCATATAGTTTACACGTTACAGCCTTATATTCTTGTATTCTTGGAACTTTAGAAGAGAAATGAATATTTTGCTGATCGACCTAAACTTTTGTAGAGTTCACATGTTGCCACCGTGTGGCCGAAATGGCGAACTTCTCCAGAGATTCCACCGGTCGAGGGTAACACCTTTACTGATTTTACAAAAAGCATAACCAAAGTTCTCAAAAAGGAGTCTTAAATATTACATTTTTAGAAGTACTCATCCAATATAACGTCATGCATTCTGCTGCAACCAGCCTGCTGAGGATGTTCATGATCTGGATATCTTTGAAGCTGCCTATTCTTAATTTTTTTATTCTACTCATTCATCCATCCAACCCCAACCCCACTAGGGACAAGGGTGGCTATCAGGGTCACCCTGTCGCAGGGCAACACACACTCTATTCATTCACTATATTTAAAATGTTCAATGTTTACTTTGTCTATTATTAATCTGCTTGATCTTTTATTTATGTATTTTTTATGATTACTCTCTTCTTGTATGTTGTTTTTAACTTTCTTGTACAAGCACTTTGAATTGTCTTTGGCTGAAAGGTGCTATATAAATGAAGTTGCCTTACCTAGAATGAAAATTAGTTTGGCACCCCTACTTTACAGGGAAAACAGGTCTAATTCATCACCTGCTATTTACAGCCCTAATAAATCCAAGTTCATTCAACTAAGATCCAATTACAGTGGATAGTTTAGTTACATTGTGTTGAACTCATATCCAATTATCATTTCAAAACAACTGATGCTTTGTCATCTTCAGCAATCAAGTGACATCAGTGGAGAGGAAGAACTTAATTTTACCAGTGAGAAGTTTCTGGGATTTGGAGTTGTGATGTGTCCATGTGGTTTTTCACTGAGCTGCAGGTTTTCCTCTGGAAGGAGGAGGCTGAGCTGTGTGCTCTTGGTGCCTCTGCATCTCATTCACCTCCTCAGCTGCTGTAAAACCAGGGTGTGTCCCTGCAGGACAAGAAGGATCTCCTGTGCCCAGGCTTCTCGTTGAGAAAATGTCATCAAATGCATTGACAGACCTGTTGACCAGATCCATAATTTGTAGATTTGGAGAATGTGCAAAGAAAGTCTCCAAAAATATAGAAAAAGACAAAAACAGAGCAAGCAGGGCAGGCAAGGGCAGGGAGGGAGCAGAGGAAAAAAAATGTCCGCCTTCACCGAGAGCAAGAGAGGAGAATGTCTAGAATGGTAGAAAATATTATGTAAAACATTATTTTGAAATTACAAACGACAGCATAAAAACCACATTGATTCTAACCTGGGTCAAAAAAGACCCATTTATGGGTCTTTTTACTTATGCATCAGAGGGTAAAAATAGACAGAAATATTGAGGACACAGCTTGCAAAAAAATAATAAAATAAATGGATAAATATAAGAAACAAAACAATAGGTTAGTTAGGACCAAGTCACCACTTGTGTGTTCCTTACATTTATGACAACATTTTATGATATTTCATGTCTCCACCCTGTCATGTCTAAAGTTCACCATTATGCCCTTGTCATTTTCATGATTTATGAAAATAAACAAATTATGTTATACACATTTGTGTGATTCCTTTACAAATAATCAAATTGAATTGCTTGAAAGTTAATCAATGTCTTTGATCGATGTCATTTAATCTTTCAGACTTTTAGAGAAGAAAGTCTGAAAGATTAAATGACAAACCAAGAGTTTGCCATAATTTTATTAGTATTCAAATTCTTTTCCCATCACCAAAATATATTGTTGAAAAGGAGACCCAAAAGCTTTCTAAAAATATACATCTTACAATCACCATACAATGTATTTATTTTTGCCTTGAATATGTCGATGAGATGGTGGAAATATCTTGCTGTTTGCATGTTGTTGTTTTTTTTTGGTGCCATTTTATTTATAAAAAATTGTATTAAACATGTATTTCAAACAGAATAGTATCAACTTAATGAAAGGGTGTGAACTTCCTTGGAAACCCTCAGCTTTTGGAAATGGGAAAGTCTCAAAGGCACCTTATGGTTATATTGACTTAAGATGTGTCCAAGGGTTAAATGTGTTAATTATCATATAATGCGGTTTTATTACATTTTAAAACCATGTTTTATTACATAATAGCATATTACATGACTGCAGTCCTGATGGTGCTGTCTTGCTAAGGCATCCCCATAATTAAACAGATAGCAGGAAATTTGATGATGTCAGTTTTATCCACTTTTCCTTTTTACATGCATTTTATGATGTTTACATATAAATTTCTTTTTATATATAGATTTTTTTTTAAATCAAAATCTAAAATAGTTCCCAGTCATGCTACAAACAGAAATGTTACTCTAGTAGATAAAATTTCTCTCGCGATAATTATGAGACATCAAATGGTGGGTAAAATAAAATTTTACTCTGTGGTTATAAAACTGGGGTTTATTATAGCCAAGGGGATAAAATGTAGCAAATTTTATTCAATCTAATAAAATCTGACTGAAATTTTGATCATGTAATAGTTCTGTTGTTGGCTTAATGTTTATCAACATTCCCAGAGGAACCTTTCCTGGACCAAGTTTGACTCTGGAGAAATAACTTTCAGAGGAGCAAATGTGGAGATGGGTTCACACTCTCTTCAGTGTTTACAATTATTTCCCCTTTACTGGTTTCTCACTTTGTCCTGTTCAACATCGCCTCACTTGTAAGCGCTCATTTCCTGCACAGGATATTAATAAACCTGACTGAGTGATTCTAACCTTAACAGTAGTTGGTCATTATTTTTTTACACATCAAGCTGTGATCAGATGGCATCTGAAGATTCGTTTGTTGCGTCTGGATTTTCTGACATTGGTTGAAAAAGCCTGGATAAATCTTCTTAGACTGTCAAGAAATTCAGATCTGTTAGATTATCCATTTTATATTATTAATTTGTTTTAATCTGTCTCGCCTTCTGGTATTATGGACAGAAACACAAAGCTCCTCTGCATGGCGTATCGGTGGCTTTGTTGTGTCTTCAGGTCTGGTATGTAAGTGCAGGAGTGCAAAAGTAAGTTCAGTCACACAAACAGCATTTCAAGAAGTAAATTGAAATATATTTTGTGCTTACCAATCATGTTTTAGAGCGTATGTAGCCAGTATTTTGTCTCGTGCTGGTCCTCATAGATTAACCCAACTAATCTGGATTAGAGGCAGTACTTCCTGCAGATAACCGCCACGGTCTGTAAAGTCGGCTGTCATTCTGTTGCAGCGTCGGTTCGCCATGAGAAAGATAAGAAGCATTTTAAGAGGGAAAATTTGCCATGCTGTCACAGAGCTGAGGAGATAAACTCACAGGAACTGGACTGAAGAGGCTTCACCGAGGTGAGTCATGAAAATTGATATTAATATTTTCAAAGGCTAAAGTTTCATTTTAATCTCAGCCATGAAGATGTTTTCTGAACAGCAAAGCTCTTGCTCCAAACTGTAGCATAGCTGGAAGCAGAAAAATACATTACATAATGAGCATTTTGCTAAGAAAACCTATGCATGCATTGCATTGGTTAGCTGTGAAAGATTATCAGTAAAAAAAAAAAAACAATACATGTTTTTCAAAGTTGTTAGTATTCCAGTAGTTGTTTTTGCTCAAATGTTGCTCTACTGAAGTTATTAATTACTAAAACAAATTACTTAATTTTGCTCTAATCCAGTAAATACACTGACAATAACACATCTGTTATATTGCCCAGTAGCAGATGTTCCTTCAGCCTCTCATTGTTTTAGCGGCTTTGGGATGCATCCCATGTAACACATTCTTCACAACTGGCTCTTTGGTGTTAATTTAATGCTGCTCACCAGAAGATGGCAGAGGAGCTGACAAATTAAAAAAAAGTGATCATCCCCTTAGTTTTTTCATGTTTCTTAGGTGGGAAGATGATGGTCGCTTGTTGGAAGAACCCCAGGGATCTTTAGAGAACAGAACAGCTTTCTCTGCAGACTGACCTTATCGTTGAAAGTTTCACCTGAACTCTTGCGGGGAAGGACTGAGGCATGGAGGGCTGCGAGGTCAGCTCCAAGATGCGCTACTGGCTGACGCTGATCTCAGGGATGCTGGAGTGTCTGTGCTTCGCTGGTGTGGTGTTTGGTTACACCTCTCTGGTGTTTGTGCTGAAGGAAGACCAGTACTTCAGTGAGTTGTGCAGCAACAGCACAGCCAGCAACAGCTCTCAGGTGGAGACAGGTGAGCAAAAGAAGAAACAGAAGACTTTTGTGATTTAAGTTTCTGAAGATGGGGCTTTTTTTAAATTTCTGCAGTTATTTGGGGGTTGACTTTGCTGTTTGTCAGTTGGGTCAAAATGCTCTAACACTGCATGAATGTCTATCCTAAAGCTGGATAAATAAATAAAAAACATCAATCATCAAAGTTGACTCAACAACATGCACAATATGCATATTTGAAGACAACTTTGAGTCATGAAAACATCAAGAAAATCCTACTTGCGCCACCGAACTTCATTTGTACTTAATTGATGTAACTATAACTGATGCTATTTCTGCACCCAAGAAGAGTAAATGTTGAAACCAGATCTAAGGATGCATGAAAAATATTTCTCTGCGGGAATAGACACACCTGCAGATTGTGCCACCATGGAGCTGTAGTCACAATGTGGCTGGAAAAAGTTTGGAAGTAATTATTTATGGTCTAATTTTGGTTTGCACACGTTTGAGTGTTGCTCTACTGGTAATAAAAGATGTTTCTTCCGTAACTTTGTCCATGTCTGAGTGTTTCTCTGTCTTCCAGACTGCAGAGGTCAGGATGAGCAGTTTTCTCTGGTTTTCACTATCGCCTCGTTCCTGAACAACTTCCTGAGTCTGATCAACGGCTTCCTGTTTGATCGATTTGGCACCATGGTGACAAGACTGCTGGCAGTGTAGGTTCAAGCACAAATCTGCATCCAAACTCAGGGCACTAATCCATTTAATTATTCATTTTAGATTTCGGTTGCGGTCTACAATGCATAGAGAGAAATTCTTCTATATCGGCAGTCTTGAAATTCTGCTTAGTCTTCCAACTTCTTTGTATTCAAAATTCAAGAAACAGGTTTTATGACATGTGAAATTTGAGCTTGTAGTTCAGTTATTTCTGTTAGGATGAGAGGAACGTGATAAACACAGGGAGGGTCTTACAAAGACAGATTACACCCAGACAGACGTCTCCTCCTTTGTCCACATACTGTCGATAGTTACTGTGTTGGTATTATTAACGCAGTAAAATAACAAGCAAGATGATAGCAATGTAAGCCATTAAAAATGAAGCTTTTTAACAAAAACACAAAGATGTCTGTATCTTTTATTTTTCTATAAATGACCAGAGATACTCATGTGTTTTCTCCTTCCAGATGTTTGTACACAACTGGAACCCTTTTTGTGGCCTTCTCCAGTGCAGGTCTGCAGCAATTGCTTTATGCAAACAAACGCATTTAATTTGTAAGGTTTTAGAAAGACTATTTCACCGTAGACGTATTTAATACATTTAGTCAAACTGCTACACGTCTTCCGAGATAAAAGATTGTCTTTTTTTTTTCCTCTTCCACTGTTCGACAGCATATTCCTTGATGCTCTTCCCTGCCTTATCCTGCATCGCTGTGGGAGGAATTCTGCTCCTTATGACGAACATTCAGGTGGTTATTCTGAAAAAGAAGCTGGAAATCAAACACAGGAGGTCATTTTATTGAAACGACATATTTGGAATTTGTTTGTTTTGTTGAGGTGGGGAACCTGTTTGCCGCTCATCGCTCCACCATCATTACTTTCTACAACGGAGCCTTTGACTCTTCTTCAGGAGTCTTCCTCCTCATCAAGGTACGTTGCCATGTGTTGCCATGTACGTTGGTCGAAATTGAACAGAGTGCTTACGTATGGATTTGTTTTGTAGGCTGAAAAACCAATCTTGGCAAAAGTCGGAAACTAAAATAAAATCCAAGCTGTCATCGCCTTCATTTTATCTAGACGTAAAGTGTGGGCTGCAGCTTTTGTAGAAAACAAAATAGGTAAAAACAACAGAAAAAATTATTTTCAGCCACATTGAGTTAGTGAACTGTTCCAAACCTGTTTAAGAAATGTTCTAAGAGTAAATAAAAGTACAAGAACAAATCTGACAGTTTGCTCTGCCGGAGCAAAGGACTGTAAACCTTTTGAATAACTTACATTATCAAGACTTAAACTGTTATCAGTGATGGGAGAATAAATCCTAAACTATGTGATCAATTTCTGCAACACTAGCCAGTGACTTTAGCCTGAAGTTAGTTTTAATGATATAGAGAGACTTCTGGGGTACTTTTAGATGTCAATAATCCTCGTGGCACAGAAAAGATTCTGCAGATGAAAGACTGCTTCAGATCACCAAATGTTGTCTCCATCTTGCGTTACAGATTCTGCACGAGCAAGGAATCTCTCTCCAGTCCTCCTTCATTGCCTTGTCCCTCTGCAGCGTCATTCACGTGGCGAGGACTTTCCTCCTCATGCCCAGGACCCACATCCCGTACCCTCTGCCTCCACGCTACACATACGGGTCAGCGTCTCGTTATTCATTGTTGTTTTCAGGCTCTCTGCTGGGTTGAAACTTGACGGCATGCAGTGTGTTTTGATGCCCAGGGTGAACTGTGGACAGGCCTACAGCTACAACGTGGAGCAGGTCAAGAGGACGAAGGAGGATGCATCCAGTTGGAAAGATGAAACGGCCAAGTCGGATGAAGCAGAGGTCGAAAACACAGACAAAGGTATCAGATTTATGATTGACAACAATCTATGGAGAAGCTGATCAGTTCAACATTTAAAACGTGTTGTATACAGCAGTTCAGCACTGAGGAGACTTCAATATCCAATTGGACCAATATCACAGCAATTGGACGTTTTACTTTACATCCACAAACTACAGTGTATTTCTTCAAGATGCATTTGAGCTAGATCAACAAAATGTGCAAAATTATTTTGCTGCAAAAACAGAAAATATAACAAAGTATTTTTTTTATCTAGTTTGTAGAAAAAAATAGAAACTAGATGAAAACAGGATGAGATATTATTTTACGTGTACTCTTGAAATAAGACTCGACTCACTATATTTGTGTGTCTTAAGTAAATTATTCTTGAATGTAAAGTTGTTGGGTTTTTTTGCTTGTAACATGTTTTTTCTGTTTTAAGCTGAACTAGTATTTACATATAATTGACCTAATATATATTCAAGAATTGGTGACATAAAAGAATCTCATTTATCTTGTTGAAAAGCTTACTTTTACATGATTTGTGTCTTATTTTAAGTGTTTTTATTATTGTTGTTTTTGTACTGCTTCTTATTATTATTCTGCCCCCTAAAGAGGGGCCTTTTTGAGGGCTTTATCATATTTAAAAACTCACCAAACATGGCAGACGCGTCAAGGGAGTTTCAAATTTTCGTATTTTAAGGTCGTCGTAAAAATCGCAAAAGAAACGGCTCGACGGCGCCACCTAGCAATTTTCAAAGGACGCTTTTATCCCCTTACTTCATAGTAGAGTCATGAAATTTGGTACACTTGCAGAGCTCCCCAGGATGCTCCTCGCTAAAGCCACCAATCTGCACATTTTTTGTGCATCGTCAGGGAGCGCTCCCCCTAGTGGACGAGCACGGAAACTGCGCAACAGCTTCTGCGTTGGAACGTGGGCGGAAGCGCTGGAAACCGCATGAGAGCTTCTGCGGTGGCCGGGCGGCGGGCGGCGGTTGCTCGGACCACCTCGGTGGTCAAGAGGCCGAAGCGGCGCTTGGCTGCGAGGGCCGCACGACGCCGCTAGCGGCTTTAATTATTTCTATTATTTATTTATCTCGAAGATTATAGAAATAGGCTATAAAGTCACACACATGAACGAGGAATGCAAAAGACGCATATTTTTTGTACAGCAATGATTTTAACACACCCGAAAAAAAAGTAAGAATAAGTAAGAAACATGTGAACTCCTTCTCAGTGTACTGAGATGTCTGTGCTACTGCTTCACTGGCAGGTTGCTGAGCACAGGACGGCTGATGTGAATGCATTCACTGCTTTGAACCTCTGATTTGTTCAGTGTCGAGCTTCCGGCGCTGTGTTTTGTCCTGGTTCTTCGTCTGGCATCTGCTGTGGCTGTCCATACTGCAGCTGAGACACTACCTCTTCATCGGCACCCTCAACTCCAGGCTCAGCCGGCTGGCCAGAAACGACCCCGGCCTGGGTGACTTTTCTCAGACCTTCTTCTCCATTTTCTATTTCTTCTTTCCATTTTCTTTTTGACAATGATTTCTTGGTTTTTGGTGTGTTCTGCTTCCCGCCACGTGCCTCTCAGTGAGCCAGTACACCAATGCTTTTGCAATGACCCAGCTGTGCGGCGTGCTCTGCGCGCCCTGGAACGGACTCATCTTGGACAGACACAAGGGAAAGCCTCGAGCCCCTGGTAAATCCCTGGAGCCTGCACCGGTAC